CCCCGGCTCTCACCAGCATGTCCCTGCAGCTTCTAGGCAGAGGGACATGGGGGCTCCACATGCTGCCCATGCCCGCAGGTACTGCCCCAGCAGCTCCCATTGGCTGTGGTTCCCAGCCAATGGGAGCTGTGGAGCCAGCGCTTGTGGCGGGAGCAGCGCATAGAGTCTGCCTGGCCGCCCCTCCCCCTACGAGTTGCAGGGAGCTGCCTGTCAGAGCCAGGCAGGGAGCCTACAGCGTGGCCAACCCTCTCCCCCAGTGCCAGTGGGGATCACAGGCCACGCACCGCCGCTCGCCTCCCCTCTTCCCCCCGCCAGCACTAATGGGGGTCCCGGGCTGTGCGCCTCCACCTCCCACAACACCAGCAGCGGTCCTGGGCCGTGTGCCACCACCACCACCCGTGTCCCCCTCAGCTCCAGCAGGGGAGCTGGGCCACCCCCATCCCAGCACCCACAGCCCCCCCCCCAGCCCGCCCCCCAGAGCGCCGGGGCACCCCCGGAGCAAGTTTTAGTTAGGAGTGTATAGTAAAAGTCATGGACAGGTCACGGGCTGTGAATTTTTGTTTACTGCCCATGACCTGTCCATGACTTTTACTAAAAATACCCATGACTGAAACGTAGCCATACTTATGATTATACACTGCCCTTGGACTGTGCATACAGCTGCCACTCAGATCAAAGACCTATAGTCATTAAAAAAAAAAACACACAAACAAACAAACAAAAAACTGCCATTGACTTTTGCCTGAATGATTTTTTCAGGAGCAGGCTCAAAGACAAGATCTTCAGGTGGGAACAAACAAATTAACGTTTAAAACAACAACAGTAGTTAAAGGAATGAAACCTACTTTATTTCCTCTCATCCCAGGACTACCAGGACTCCCTTTTGGACCTGCAGTTCCCAGTTCACACTGAAATTAAATGAACATAAGATATCTAGTGAGAATTTGGAAAAAAACCCAAACAAATCACTTTGCTTCTTTTTGCAACTTGTAACAACCATATAATGATGTTCAATGGCTCAGCTTTAACAAACACCGCCACATTAGCACTTCATGTAGAATGACAAGAATCTAGTCTCAACTGTGCCACCTGTGTTTTTCCCGTAGACATCTGGCAGGCAGCAAAAGCAGTCAACATCAATAATGCTTAGATTCATTGCTTCAAGTCTAGACCAAACATTTATTTTCCTACCAGCATGGCAGCAAGATTGTACAAGATGAAGGCCATTCACTAGTTTGACTGGTACAGAACATTTTTCAGTATCCATCAAACGTTGCTTTCTCAATTCCAGACAAATAGAGACGTGTCTATAAAGTGATTATACTGTAGATTTAAAACCTATTCTTCGTTCATAAAAAAATAATCCAGACAAAGTTACTACTGGCTTCTCATCCACACAGTCTCCATATTAGTCATATATAAACAAAAAGGCCTAATTCGGTCTTTAGTTACATGGATACAATCTCCACTGCTTTGTATCAGGTTTATATGGATCATATTGATTTCAATGGGAGTTCCCCACTCCCATCATAAACAGAAGCAGAATTTTGTCTCACTTTTTTATTTTGTCACAGTGGCCACATCTTCCGAACACAAATCTACCCAAACAACATATATGGCTTGAAGGAAGTTTACACGAGAGAATCAGGAGAAGACCCATTGTTAGCTTCAGGGAACTCCCTAATACAGTTTCTTCTATTGTTGAAACTCGGTGTGTCTACCTCTTTCAGTGCAACGGTTTTCCAGAGACTCTGGTCACAAGAAAGGTGGCAACTTGTCAGAAATAAAGACAATCCTGGAAGAAATTAGGGATCTAGCCTCTCTGTATGGTAAATTGACTGTAAATACTTTGGAAACATGCAAAATATAGCTGCTCAGTTAAGATGCAAAGTGCCAAATACAAAAAAGCAAAGAGAGCAACAGAATCACCAGCCATTTCTTTTAGACAGTACTGCCAAGAGAAAGGCAAGTACGGCAACTAAGCAAATATAAATGTTAGGTGAGATTTTAAAAGTACTCAGCACCTCTCATCCCATTGATTTCAATGGGAATTTCCCCCCCAACGTTTGAAAAACCCAGCCTAGAAAAATCAAACTGATAATTGCTCCGCCTGCCAAATGGAGAGCAGGAAGAAGATTTGGATAGCTTTCTTGTTAAATTATCTAGTAGATGGGTCCAGATTCGGTGGCTGTACCGTGGTTCAGACTCAGTGGTGCAGTTTCTGTGACTGTCAAGGTACCAGCTACAACTATGAGACTCAGGAAGCTGTATGTCATTTAATTAAACACTATCATAAAGCAAAAGTTCTGTTATTTTCTAACTCTTGAGTAGTTCATTTTACAAGCTTAAAACCATTATTTTAATCAATGTTTTGCAATATTTATGCAAACACACATACACACGCTCCTGTACCCTTAAATAAACTGGTGGGTCATGTTAGAATATAAACAAATTGTTATATAGCTATTGCAGATTATTTTTCTTAGAATGTAAAACAGTTTAGCATTGCTCTGAGATGTTTAAAATTCCTTTAGCCCCTTACGAATACATTTCTCTCTGACAGGGTATCATGATACACTGCACAGGAATTTTGAAACAAAGAATGCAGTAAAACAGCAGTAAAAATGAAGTCTCCCACTGGTTACACACACAGTGAGTAGAACACTAAGTGAACTTCACACAGTATTTTTACCTGAAGACCTTTATTTCCTTCACTTCCTTTCTCTCCTTTCACACCTTTAATCCCTTTTTGTCCCTAGAAGGTATGTTAGATGACAGAAAATCCAGTTAATACACAAATGCATATATTACAAACAGAAATATTAAATACCCTGTCTTAAGAAATAACACCATGTAGCTCTTTATATAGGTGTTATGTCTTGAAAGTGCTCTTAAAACAACACCTGATTCATCCTTATATCATCACTATGTGATGGGTATTCTCCCCATTTTACATATGGGGAAACAAAGATTCAGGGGCACAGCTACTCTCCAGCTGCATAGGTGGGGCTGGGGGAGGGGGGGGAGATGGAGCAGGGAGGACTAGGGAGATCTGTAGGGGGAAGGATGGGAGGAATCCTGTCCAGATGGTAAGATACACTCAAGGGAGGCTGCTAAGATGTCAGCAAAGGTCTCTGATGGCACCAGGACCCCCCACCAATGCAAAACACAAAGCATTAAAAATGTAAAGAAAAAGTAATCAGTGAGTTCTAGCACACACAGCTACAGACACTGGGTTCCCATAGCAGACAGTCAGCCAAGAACAGGAGTTCAGCTGCCCCCAGTTCCTTTCTGCTGAAGAGATCCAGGTGCACGCAAGAACATAAGAAGGGCCATGCTGGGTCAGACCAATGGTCCATCCAGCCCAGTATTCTGTCGTCCAACAGTGGCCAATACCAGACGCCCCAAAGGGAATGAGCAGAACAAGGCAAAGATCAAGTGATCCATCCCCTGACATCCAGTCCCAGCATCTGGCAGTCAGAAGATGGGGCAATTTGGAGGGGATGTGTAGCGGGTGGTCACCTGCTCTGACCCTGAAAGGGTTACAGTCAGACCTGGGAGAGGGCGGGGGCTGCGAGCCAAAGACTAGGCTGATGGGGAAGGCAGCCACAGCTGGGGCCACACCCAAATCAGGCCACAGCTGGCCCTATAAAAGTCTGTGGGCCAGGAGCTCAGGCAGCCTCTCTAGCTGTGGAGAGAGATGGGCCTGGCTGCTTGGGAGCTCAGCAGGGTACCTGGAGTGGAGCAGGGCTGGGGAAAGGCTAGAGAAGCTGGGGAGCTCCAGGCTGGAAAACCCCACAGCCTGCAGGCCTTGCTGAAGGCCTGAAGCAGGTTCTGGGGTTGCAGA